GTCTTCCACCAGAACCAGTATATATATAGGTGGATGGATGTAATTACCTGCAGAAGAGATTTATCCACAATCGCAAGCGCGCGCGCATGATATTCACTCCACCAATTTTGATCAAATAATCATTCATCCCATATAAATTACTTGTTGAAGTCCCACACTAGACACGCTCAAGTCTATTGGTTTATAAGAGGGCGTAATCCTCTCATTCAACAAGGACTTACTGGGTGAAGAGTCAGACCCACCTCAAATTCTATCATAGTATCAAAGCCCAGGTGCAGTTAAGCTGAGCACTTGACCATCGAGTGAAGAGTTAGAGTCAGAAACTACCTCCATCAACAAGCATGATCCAACATATGGGCTTAACCGTAAGGGAGAGTGTTGGAATCCCACACCGACTAGACACGTTCAAGCCGGCATGATCCAACATATAGGTTTGGCCGTGAAGGGGGGTGTTGGAGTCTCACACTAACTTGGTACGCTTAAACTTACTGATTTATAAAAGGGGATAATCCTCCCATTCAACAAAGTCTTATTGGATGAGGAGTCAAACCCACTTTAAATTCTATCATTACTTACCGATTTAAGGTTTTACATAAGTTAAACGGTTGAGGAAAAGATGTTAGAATTTATAATAGAGGATAATTTTCTCATTCAATAAGGTCTTATTGGATGAGAAGTCAAACTCACCTTAAATTCTATCATTACTTAGTAATTTAAGGTTTTACATAAGTTAAACGGATGAGGAGAAAGATGTTAGACTTTACTTAGTTTAGTAATACAACAAAGAGAAAACGGAGGGGGAAGGTGGAAGACAATAATTAAAATGATGAATGAAATGAATTCCCATTATTGATGAAATTATGAGTTAAACTAATAGATAAGTGGGATTGATGGCCTCCACCAAATGATTTGGTTGTAAAACGACACTAAAATTTCCCCACTTCAAACTGGGAGTGCGTGCCACTTGTCAACTTCCCAACTTACTTCACGAAATCACTATACGACGACAATTCCAACTTTAAACCCTATCTCGCTCCAAGTATTCCATTACAAGATAACGTTTTGTATATATAAATAATATTAACTTTTACGATGATATCACTGTTTAATCAAACTCATAATCTTACCCCATACTTATAATAACTTGTACAAAAATGATTCGTGCTTTCTTCTAATGCCTTCTGGTCACTATTTAATTTAAAGCCATAAAACAGTATCTAATACGATGCTTTTTGTTGTTTTAATTACTATTAATTATTAAAGTGGAAGAAACTATATTCTATATATTTTTTTTAATCAAATTTAATTAACCTCTCTCTAAACTTTTTATCAGATACAGATCACCAAAGTAAATAAATACTCTTCACTTTGCTTATAATTCTGGTAGGACATTGCACTTATTGCTTCTTATGGTATCAGTATTAATTAATTAACAACAAATCCTTCTCCAACACATTCATCAATTGTATATATTATTATAATTAATTAATTTCAGTAAATTTTTTTTCCCCATAATTATGTTTAAAGATAGATGTCTCTAAATCAAACCCATTAATTAACAATTAATTTGTACATACTTTGATACGTGTTTAAGTTTGATTATTTTATATAAAATTCTAGCTTAATGGTGGATCTCTAGTAGTCTTACAATGATCAAAAAAGATATATATATCAGTGGAAATTGCACTATTTTTTCAAAAATTCTAATAGGAGATGATCACAAAATTCATTGAACTCAATTTGGGGTATGATTATATAGCTTTAGAAAGCATAATGAGTTGTGATATATTGTATTTGATGGCGATGGAGATTAACTGACCTTCATTATCATTAACTTTATAATAATCTTTCTCAACTTAATTAATTAATTATAAACATAATATTAAGTTGCACTACTAGTTACTTATATAGTATTCTGTGTTACTATGATATCGTCATCTAGATCAGGAAGAAAATCTTTGAATTAAGTGCGTGTCCCTGTCGATATATTATCTTATAAACAAGAAAGAACCGGCTACTTGCAGCCGAGCTATAAACTATAACTCTCATGGTTATGGAATAAATTTAGTCAATATGTATTAAATTATTTTATACATGTCACTATCGAGAGGGTCCTTATTTTGTTAGCAGTAAATAACATTAGGCATTTGATGTGAAATGAGAGAGATTCGGCATCTGGGAAATCTTTGTTTTTCTTTTTTTTATATGATATAATATGGCAGACACCTATGAGCATGAGAGAGAGAGAGAGAATCCATGCAAGATGGAAGAAGGTGGAGTGTATAGTGTATAGATAAAATTGAAGAGACGGATTGTGAAGGAATAAATGAAATAGGAAAGGGCATTAACAGAAGAAATTGCAACTCTTCTTGCATATTTATATATAAATAATAAATGTACAAGTTGGGGAGCAGAAAGAGGCTGCACTCAAAAATGATGCGCACCCAATGTGTCAAGTAGCCAAAATGTATAACTAAGTCTTCAACCTTCAAAAAAGCTGCCTGGCTCCACCCTCGGACCCCTCCATCAACTTCATTAATCTGAGTGCTCTGCACACATATTTATATTTCATATAGACAAAAATTGGAATCCCTTTGATGGGTTCTTCCTTTAATCATTTCTCTTTCCCTTGTTTAAGAAATTAAGAAAGAAGAAGACTTTTGCATAGCAGCATCTAAGTGAGGTAGTCTAACTTTTAAATGAATATTATTAAGTTATAAATATAATTTAACTAGTAATGATATAGAAAGGTCATATCGAATTTCGGTGATACGAATGTTGAAAACTACAGTAAAAAACCAATAGCAGTTGAAAAGGGAATAAAAGAATCAGTTGGCTTTACAAGGAAAAGCACCATTACTACTACTTCCACTCTATTAACAATATTTTTTCGTTTGCTTTCTCTAATCTCCAGAGGCCACCACGACGCTTAGAGATTATTCTTGTATAGTTATTTCTATGTATGTAGACTATTTGAAAGTCATTAAAATTCTTGGTGTGTAGCTATGAATATGAATATACCTTATTGCTCTCGTAAATCCAACGCAACAATGCCGTTTACAAGTTTTAATGAAATCCTTTCTATTTGTTTTGACTTTGTACGAACTCATTTGCAGAATCTGCCGAAAGAGGAAACCCAGAAAAAGCTTACTGCTAGGGGAGATGTTCATAATCCAAGAAGAAGCAACCCAGTTGCTTAACTGAAAATTCTCCTATCTAAAATAATGTAGACTAGTCAAAAACAAAGATTGATAACGATATATATATATATATTTTTCAATTTAACAAACTGAAGATATATATAAGAAAAATCTAAATACTTCTGGTCTCAATTAAAGGGTACGAATTGATGTATATCACACACATTGATGCATGCACACTGAAGGGGAGAATCAGAGAGATACTTTTGCTTTGGTTTCTTATGCTTTTCCTTTTACAGGTTTCATTTCCACTGCTGGAAATTGGTCCCAAATGCACGTACGGAACTTACAGAATACTCATCATAATGTCATTGTCCTAAGTATATTATTACTTAAAAATGTGTGAAAATAACTAAACTTGTTATCTTGTTTTTGGCTTCATTAATCAATAATCAAAGTGCTTAATTGATTAGGTAATTAATCAGGTTTATACACTACTACATCAATTTTACAGTGATAGTGACAGAGAATATATGCATAGAGGGTTTATTTCGTGTTGGAGCAAAAATGATAAAGAGATTTGTTGATGTCTAATTTATGTTATTTTATGTCGCAAATACCCATGTTCGATGGAACATCATCGGTTTAGCTTTCCCGAAAGAAAGTAAAAAGGAAAATGGAAAGAACAAAGCAAGAATAACACATGCTAAAGCTAGCCATATAGTAGTAAGAAAAGGATCACTACACACTACTATATCTATATTTAATACCCCAAATGAATTTTGGTTTCTACAAGTATTTCATTTAATCAAAATGACCCCACCAAATTACAACTTATATAAATGGATTCTGATATTTGCGAATAATATATAAAACAACTCAATGTTTACAACTAGATTTAGAGCAGTAAATTGATCAACAGTCTAAAACGAGACAAGAAACATAAGAATTGGTACATTTCACAAGTAAAGATAAAAAGAGAGTGTAAGGAGATATTGGGAGTTGGATCTATTTAGAAATGGTGTAAAAGCATGAGGGCATTTGCAGAAGAGTTAGATTGGCTGTATTATAAAATGGTGGGAAACACCATGATTGTCTTCTAGGCAGTAAGTACTACTCCATTTATTTTTCACATGCACGCAGTATAGCATATCTTTAAAGTTCCATAAATAGCAAATAATGCTGTATAAGAAATTTCTGAAATAATATACGAAAATGGGTTATGACTTAGAAACCTTAAGGTATTTGTACGTTTAGAGAGAGAGAGGTTTTGATCATGATCATGATCTTGATCTTGTCTTTGATTTGTGAAATTGTGGGAAGCACTATATATCATTGATTTGTCTACTTGGATATAATTAAGAATCTGCTTTCTTTTTTCACATGCACTCCACAAAGATTTGTGGGCATACACTATACACAGAAACAAAACAAGATCGAAAAAACAACAGAATAATATTAATATTTATGTTGACCCCTAATATGGCAAGTGTTGCTATGTTTAGTAGTATATGAATATATAAATGGTTCTTTCAATCACTATACTGGCGAGAATTAATGGTTTGCATTTGTAATTTCTGATATTCCAATTGTCATAATTTGATCTGAGCTGCATAATGAATCCATGCAACTGAAGGTGAGTATAGGAAGATGATAGAAAGAAGATGCTGATAAAGAGGAACTAAGGAAAAAGATTAGTATAAATAATGGTTATAAGAGTTGGTGTTAGAATAATATAAGGGAAAGAAGGTGGGAACCCACCATGGAGGGCATGGAGCCATAGCGCACACAAACAGGACAAATCCTCGACTCTACTATATATTTATGTGCTCTCTACTTCACTTTGGGAGCTAGGCCAAAGTTAAAAAGCAAAGCCTTAACTTCTCTCCCTTCTCTAATCATCAGCACCACCACCACTCCACCCCCCAAAACACCTACCAATCAGTAACATCTTTCATTAGTTCAATCATTTTATTAACCATGCCTCAGCTCAACTGCATAGCACCAAAATCTGAACATGGCAGCACTAGTGATCCAGTGGAAAGTAGTCTCAGTCTGACAGAGATGTCTGAGTCTCAAAACAAGGCTGTCCTTGCCTTTCCAGTACAACCAAAGCCACTCCAAGTCCCCTTGTATCCTATAACTCTCAAGGTCTCTCTTCTCATCATACCATTTATTATATTACTCTTTTATGTATCTTACCATTAGTCATTTTTTCATCATAAGGTATCTCATCTTTCTATCATGTGTGATATAGTAGTTTCTCTGTCTCTCTTCCCATAATCATATATTACTTTATTATATGAAATCATTAGTTCTTGCTAACATATAAACTTGTTTGCAGTTTGAGGAGGTGGTGTACAAAGTGAAATTGGAGCAGGGAGGATTTTGCTGTGGTGGTACATGGGGCTCCAAAGAAAAGACTATATTAAATGGAATCACAGGTATGGTATGTCCTGGAGAGCTGCTAGCCATGCTAGGGCCCTCAGGAAGTGGCAAAACCACTCTTCTGAGTGCTCTTGGAGGCCGTCTCAACGGCAAGTTGTCTGGAAAAATCACCTACAATGGCCAGCCTTTTTCTGGTTCCATAAAGAGAAGAACAGGATTTGTTGCTCAGGATGACATTTTATACCCACATCTCACTGTCACTGAAACACTTTTTTTCACTGCACTTCTAAGGCTTCCCAATAGCTTGAGCAGGAATGATAAACTCCAACATGTGGAGCAAGTTATAACTGAACTGGGGTTGACTAGATGCAGGAATAGCATGATAGGAGGGCCACTTGTGAGAGGAATATCAGGAGGGGAGAAAAAGAGAGTTAGTATAGCTCAAGAAATGCTAATCAACCCATGCTTATTATTGTTAGATGAGCCAACCTCAGGTTTGGACTCAACTACAGCTCAAAGGATCCTAACCACAATCAAAAGGCTAGCAAGTGGAGGTCGAACCATCATAACCACCATTCACCAGCCATCTAGCCGACTCTATCACATGTTTGATAAAGTGGTTTTGCTATCAGAAGGCTCCCCAATCTATAATGGTCCTGCATCTACAGCTCTGGATTACTTTTCCTCCATTGGTTTCTCAACATCCATGACTGTGAATCCGGCAGATCTCTTACTTGATCTTGCCAATGGTAAGTTCTTCAGTTCTTCACTTTTTTTACTTTTCATTTAAACTTTTATATGCGGTGAGGGGGAGGTTACTTTTGTTTAGTCATCATTTCTTTAGCTTTTCTTTAACATGAGACGAGGATATCAGTTGGCCTACTGACAGTGGTGCTTGTACCATTATGTAAGTGGAATATAATTAATATAGAAAAGACCCCACCAACCCAATCATACAAATCATCAGTTTTGTTTACTTACTATATATGTGAATTTTGAAACTCTTAAGATTAATACTATATTACATCTCATCAATACTATTTTACATGTCAATATACACACGTCTTGCATAAACATGCCAACTGATTTTGTGGACATCAAATAGTTTATATTTTAGAGATTGATTATTTCAAACTTGTTGCATTGCTTTTTGACCGACCAAAAACAGAGACATAATGTGTACAATGACACGAAATTTATGAGAAAATCCAAAATTTGCAGGAATAAGCCCCGATTTCAAGCAGTCAACTGAGCAAGGTGAGAACTTGGAACAAGAGCAGAAGTCTCTCAGGGAAAATCTCAAATCTGCTTATGAAAAGAACATTTCCGCAAGATTAAAAGCTGAACTTTACAGTTCGGAAGTGAATAACTACAGCCATACAAAAGATGCTTCCAGAAGTAATTTTGTCATTTTTTATCTTTTAGTTTTTACCTCTTGATTGACTAATTTTAACTTCAAATATATCCCTGGTTCTCTTTTCTTCTGGTTTTTAGCTAATCTGGGGTATCAATTTTGGAATGATCCAGGAAATAACCAGAAAGCAGAGCAATGGTGCACAAGCTGGTGGCATCAATTCAGAGTGCTGCTCCAAAGGGGTGTAAGGGAAAGGAGGCATGAAGCTTTCAACAAGCTTAGAATTTTCCAAGTCATTAGCGTTGCTGTACTTGGTGGACTACTATGGTGGCATACTCCATCTTCTCACATTGAAGATAGGGTAAGAATTGTTCTTTGCAGGAAAAAAAAATATGGCATACTTTGTAGAAAAATGGTGGCTACTCTAATTTTTTAATGGAGGCTAAGCAAGGCTTTCCTTTTGAATGCAGATTGCATTGCTCTTCTTCTTCTCAGTATTCTGGGGCTTCTATCCTCTCTACAATGCAGTTTTTACATTTCCCCAAGAAAGAACAATGCTAATTAAGGAACGATCTTCGGGAATGTACCGCCTTTCCTCCTACTTTTTGGCCAGAACATTTGGGGACCTGCCACTGGAGCTTGCCCTTCCAACTGCCTTTGTGTTCATAATTTATTGGATGGGTGGCCTTAAGGCTGATCCCGTTACTTTCATCCTATCTTTACTTATTGTCCTTTACACAGTCCTTGTTGCTCAAAGTCTTGGCTTAGCCATAGGTGCTATTCTGATGGACATAAAACAAGCCACTACTTTAGCTTCAGTTACAACTCTTGTTTTCCTGATAGCAGGAGGATATTATGTTCAACAAATCCCACCCTTCATTGTGTGGCTGAAGTACTTGAGCTATAGCTACTACTGTTACAAGCTTCTACTTGGGGTTCAATACAGTGAGGATGATTATTATGAGTGCTCAAAGGGAGAGTTGTGCAGAGTTGCAGATTTTCCTGCTGTTAAGTCAATGGGGCTGAACCATTTGTGGATAGATGTATGTATTATGGCTCTGATGTTGGTTGGTTATCGACTGGTTGCTTATATGGCACTGCATCGAGTGCGATTGAGGTAAAGTTAGCATAGGTCACATTCCCTCAAATGTGACGATTTGAAGAGTTTTCTCCTTCTTCAACTGAGGAATAATGTTAGGCTTAGATGGGAATCATGTGAGACTTTGGATCAACTTACCTTGAAGTTGATTTATTTTATTAGCCTTTTTGTTGTAGTCTAGATAATACTAACTTGAAGTTTTAATTTCAGAATAAAATTATACCATTCTCAACAAAATCATTTCGCTTTAGAAAAAGAAGGAAGGAAAAGCACATACATTTCTCACCTTGAAGCCCCTTATGATCTTCAGAATGATTTCTGGAGCTTCTCGAACCAAAAGACGTTTTACTCCTGCAAGTAAAACAAGTGAGGCAAAAAAAGAGAACAACAAATCATTGTTTCCACTTCTGTTAATGTAGTAATTGATAAGAAAAGGAATATGGAACATAAGTCACACCAAAAAGTTAATTACCAAGTTCAAAATGTAACACAAACATATCTTCTGTCTTTTTGTCTTCTTTAAGCAATAAATCAAACAAGACGTCATAAAAATGAAACAAAGGTATGGTTGTCCTGGAGACTGCTAGCCATGCTAGGGCCCTCAGGAAGTGCAAAACCACTCTCTGAGTGCTCTTGGAGGCCGTCTCAACGGCAAGTTGTCTGGAAAAATCACCTACAATGGCCAGCCTTTTTCTGGTTCCATAAAGAGAAGAACAGATTTGTTGCTCAGGATGACATTTTATACCACATCTCACTGTCACTGAAACACTTTTTTTCACTGCACTTCTAAGGCTTCCCAATAGCTTGAGCAGAATGATAAACTCCAACATGTGGGCAAGTTATAACTGAACTGGGGTTGACTAGATGCAGGAATAGCATGATAGGAGGGCCACTTGTGAGAGGAATATCGGAGGGAGAAAAGAGAGTTAGTATAGCTCAAAAATGCTAATCAACCATGCTTATTATGTTAGAATAGAGCCAACCTCAGTTTTGTACTCACCGACAAGCCTCCCTTTCTATTTGTTTTGACTTTGTACGAACTCATTTGCAGAATCTGCCGAAAGAGGAAACCCAGAAAAAGCTTACTGCTAGGGGAGATGTTCATAATCCAAGAAGAAGCAACCCAGTTGCTTAACTGAAAATTCTCCTATCTAAAATAATGTAGACTAGTCAAAAACAAAGATTGATAACGATATATATATATATATTTTTCAATTTAACAAACTGAAGATATATATAAGAAAAATCTAAATACTTCTGGTCTCAATTAAAGGGTACGAATTGATGTATATCACACACATTGATGCATGCACACTGAAGGGGAGAATCAGAGAGATACTTTTGCTTTGGTTTCTTATGCTTTTCCTTTTACAGGTTTCATTTCCACTGCTGGAAATTGGTCCCAAATGCACGTACGGAACTTACAGAATACTCATCATAATGTCATTGTCCTAAGTATATTATTACTTAAAAGTGTGTGAAAATAACTAAACTTGTTATCTTGTTTTTGGCTTCATTAATCAATAATCAAAGTGCTTAATTGATTAGGTAATTAATCAGGTTTATACACTACTACATCAATTTTACAGTGATAGTGACAGAGAATATATGCATAGAGGGTTTATTTCGTGTTGGAGCAAAAATGATAAAGAGATTTGTTGATGTCTAATTTATGTTATTTTATGTCGCAAATACCCATGTTCGATGGAACATCATCGGTTTAGCTTTCCCGAAAGAAAGTAAAAAGGAAAACGGAAAGAACAAAGCAAGAATAACACATGCTAAAGCTAGCCATATAGTAGTAAGAAAAGGATCACTACACACTACTATATCTATATTTAATACCCCAAATGAATTTTGGTTTCTACAAGTATTTCATTAAATCAAAATGACCCCACCAAATTACAACTTATATAAATGGATTCTGATATTTGCGAATAATATATAAAACAACTCAATGTTTACAACTAGATTTAGAGCAGTAAATTGATCAACAGTCTAAAACGAGACAAGAAACATAAGAATTGGTACATTTCACAAATAAAGAGAAAAAGAGAGTGTAAGGAGATATTGGGGGTTGGATTTATTTAGAAATGGTGTAAAAGCATGAGGGCATTTGCAGAAGAGTTAGATTGGCTGTATTATAAAATGGTGGGAAACACCATGATTGTCTTCTAGGCAGTAAGTACTACTCCATTTATTTTTCACATGCACGCAGTATAGCATATCTTTAAAGTTCCATAAATAGCAAATAATGCTGTATAAGAAATTTCGGAAATAATATACGAAAATGGGTTATGACTTAGAAACCTTAAGGTATTTGTACGTTTAGAGAGAGAGAGGTTTTGATCATGATCATGATCTTGATCTTGTCTTTCATTTGTGAAATTGTGGGAAGCACTATATATCATTGATTTGTCTACTTGGATATAATTAAGAATCTGCTTTCTTTTTTCACATGCACTCCACAAAGATTTGTGGGCATACACTATACACAGAAACAAAACAAGATCGAAAAAACAACAGAATAATATTAATATTTATGTTGACCCCTAATATGGCAAGTGTTGCTATGTTTAGTAGTATATGAATATATAAATGGTTCTTTCAAACACTATACTGGCGAGAATTAATGGTTTGCATTTGTAATTTCTGATATTCCAATTGTCATAATTTGATCTGAGCTGCATAATGAATCCATGCAACTGAAGGTGAGCATAGGAAGATGATAGAAAGAAGATGCTGATAAAGAGGAACTAAGGAAAAAGATTAGTATAAATAATGGTTATAAGGAGTTGGTGTTAGAATAATATAAGGGAAAGGAGGTGGGAACCCACCATGGAGGGCATGGAGCCATAGCGCACACAAACAGGACAAATCCTCGACTCTACTATATATTTATGTGCTCTCTACTTCACTTTGGGAGCTAGGCCAAAGTTAAAAAGCAAAGCCTTAACTTCTCTCCCTTCTCTAATCATCAGCACCACCACCACTCCACCCCCCCAAAACACCTACCAATCAGTAACATCTTTCATTAGTTCAATCATTTTATTAACCATGCCTCAGCTCAACTGCATAGCACCAAAATCTGAACATGGCAGCACTAGTGATCCAGTGGAAAGTAGTCTCAGTCTGACAGAGATGTCTGAGTCTCAAAACAAGGCTGTCCTTGCCTTTCCAGTACAACCAAAGCCACTCCAAGTCCCCTTGTATCCTATAACTCTCAAGGTCTCTCTTCTCATCATACCATTTATTATATTATGTATCTTACCATTAGTCATTTTTTCATCATAAGGTATCTCATCTTTCTATCATGTGTGATATAGTAGTTTCTCTGTCTCTCTTCCAATAATCATATATTACTTTATTATATGAAATCATTAGTTCTTGCTAACATATAAACTTGTTTGCAGTTTGAGGAGGTGGTGTACAAAGTGAAATTGGAGCAGGGAGGATTTTGCTGTGGTGGTACATGGGGCTCCAAAGAAAAGACTATATTAAATGGAATCACAGGTATGGTATGTCCTGGAGAGCTGCTAGCCATGCTAGGGCCCTCAGGAAGTGGCAAAACCACTCTTCTGAGTGCTCTTGGAGGCCGTCTCAACGGCAAGTTGTCTGGAAAAATCACCTACAATGGCCAGCCTTTTTCTGGTTCCATAAAGAGAAGAACAGGATTTGTTGCTCAGGATGACATTTTATACCCACATCTCACTGTCACTGAAACACTTTTTTTCACTGCACTTCTAAGGCTTCCCAATAGCTTGAGCAGGAATGATAAACTCCAACATGTGGAGCAAGTTATAACTGAACTGGGGTTGACTAGATGCAGGAATAGCATGATAGGAGGGCCACTTGTGAGAGGAATATCAGGAGGGGAGAAAAAGAGAGTTAGTATAGCTCAAGAAATGCTAATCAACCCATGCTTATTATTGTTAGATGAGCCAACCTCAGGTTTGGACTCAACTACAGCTCAAAGGATCCTAACCACAATCAAAAGGCTAGCAAGTGGAGGTCGAACCATCATAACCACCATTCACCAGCCATCTAGCCGACTCTATCACATGTTTGATAAAGTGGTTTTGCTATCAGAAGGCTCCCCAATCTATAATGGTCCTGCATCTACAGCTCTGGATTACTTTTCCTCCATTGGTTTCTCAACATCCATGACTGTGAATCCGGCAGATCTCTTACTTGATCTTGCCAATGGTAAGTTCTTCAGTTCTTCACTTTTTTTACTTTTCATTTAAACTTTTATATGCGGTGAGGGGGAGGTTACTTTTGTTTAGTCATCATTTCTTTAGCTTTTCTTTAACATGAGACGAGGATATCAGTTGGCCTACTGACAGTGGTGCTTGTACCATTATGTAAGTGGAATATAATTAATATAGAAAAGACCCCACCAACCCAATCATACAAATCATCAGTTTTGTTTACTTACTATATATGTGAATTTTGAAACTCTTAAGATTAATACTATATTACATCTCATCAATACTATTTTACATGTCAATATACACACGTCTTGCATAAACATGCCAACTGATTTTGTGGACATCAAATAGTTTATATTTTAGAGATTGATTATTTCAAACTTGTTGCATTGCTTTTTGACCGACCAAAAACAGAGACATAATGTGTACAATGACACGAAATTTATGAGAAAATCCAAAATTTGCAGGAATAAGCCCCGATTTCAAGCAGTCAACTGAGCAAGGTGAGAACTTGGAACAAGAGCAGAAGTCTCTCAGGGAAAATCTCAAATCTGCTTATGAAAAGAACATTTCCGCAAGATTAAAAGCTGAACTTTACAGTTCGGAAGTGAATAACTACAGCCATACAAAAGATGCTTCCAGAAGTAATTTTGTCATTTTTTATCTTTTAGTTTTTACCTCTTGATTGACTAATTTTAACTTCAAATATATCCCTGGTTCTCTTTTCTTCTGGTTTTTAGCTAATCTGGGGTATCAATTTTGGAATGATCCAGGAAATAACCAGAAAGCAGAGCAATGGTGCACAAGCTGGTGGCATCAATTCAGAGTGCTGCTCCAAAGGGGTGTAAGGGAAAGGAGGCATGAAGCTTTCAACAAGCTTAGAATTTTCCAAGTCATTAGCGTTGCTGTACTTGGTGGACTACTATGGTGGCATACTCCATCTTCTCACATTGAAGATAGGGTAAGAATTGTTCTTTGCAGGAAAAAAAAATATGGCATACTTTGTAGAAAAATGGTGGCTACTCTAATTTTTTAATGGAGGCTAAGCAAGGCTTTCCTTTTGAATGCAGATTGCATTGCTCTTCTTCTTCTCAGTATTCTGGGGCTTCTATCCTCTCTACAATGCAGTTTTTACATTTCCCCAAGAAAGAACAATGCTAATTAAGGAACGATCTTCGGGAATGTACCGCCTTTCCTCCTACTTTTTGGCCAGAACATTTGGGGACCTGCCACTGGAGCTTGCCCTTCCAACTGCCTTTGTGTTCATAATTTATTGGATGGGTGGCCTTAAGGCTGATCCCGTTACTTTCATCCTATCTTTACTTATTGTCCTTTACACAGTCCTTGTTGCTCAAAGTCTTGGCTTAGCCATAGGTGCTATTCTGATGGACATAAAACAAGCCACTACTTTAGCTTCAGTTACAACTCTTGTTTTCCTGATAGCAGGAGGATATTATGTTCAACAAATCCCACCCTTCATTGTGTGGCTGAAGTACTTGAGCTATAGCTACTACTGTTACAAGCTTCTACTTGGGGTTCAATACAGTGAGGATGATTATTATGAGTGCTCAAAGGGAGAGTTGTGCAGAGTTGCAGATTTTCCTGCTGTTAAGTCAATGGGGCTGAACCATTTGTGGATAGATGTATGTATTATGGCTCTGATGTTGGTTGGTTATCGACTGGTTGCTTATATGGCACTGCATCGAGTGCGATTGAGGTAAAGTTAGCATAGGTCACATTCCCTCAAATGTGACGATTTGAAGAGTTTTCTCCTTCTTCAACTGAGGAATAATGTTAGGCTTAGATGGGAATCATGTGAGACTTTGGATCAACTTACCTTGAAGTTGATTTATTTTATTAGCCTTTTTGTTGTAGTCTAGATAATACTAACTTGAAGTTTTAATTTCAGAATAAAATTATACCATTCTCAACAAAATCATTTCGCTTTAGAAAAAGAAGGAAGGAAAAGCACATACATTTCTCACCTTGAAGCCCCTTATGATCTTCAGAATGATTTCTGGAGCTTCTCGAACCAAAAGACGTTTTACTCCTGCAAGTAAAACAAGTGAGGCAAAAAAAGAGAACAACAAATCATTGTTTCCACTTCTGTTAATGTAGTAATTGATAAGAAAAGGAATATGGAACATAAGTCACACCAAAAAGTTAATTACCAAGTTCAAAATGTAACACAAACATATCTTCTGTCTTTTTGTCTTCTTTTATCAATAAATCAAACAAGACGTCATAAAAATGAAACAAAAACTAGGAAAGTAGAAGGCAATAAATGGTGTAAAATCATTGAAGTTGGGTGGAGAGCCATGCAAATGAGAAATGACAGCAAAAATTCTTGTCATTTTCTACTTGAATATAGTGAATTAATGGGAAAGGACAACCCTTTTCTTCTCCAAAAATGATCATTGAGAACAATGAGACGTGGCAATCTGAGTAGGCCGTAGCTTCCAATAAAGGAACATAATAGACCACCAAGTCAAAGTTGAACGGCGTGTGTGAAAAATAAATATTTAGTCGGCAGAATACGTCAGTGCGGATGAACTACATCTGTAACCTAATTTAGCAGGAAAACGTGCCCATGTTTCTGAAGATACTCTTTGTTCACCGATTTATATCACATCATTCAATGCTTTAGCAAGCCACTATTGAGCTAAGCTAAAAACAGATAAGGCTTTTAACAACAGTTACCCTTTGGTGTTATTTTTCTCTAATGACTTTCTGAATTCATTTTTATTCTGATAGATGTATAGGATATGTCCTGTGTACTCTCCTTTAAAGACATCACACAACAGAGGGATATGTCCTGTGTACTCCTTTAAAGACATCACACGACAGAGGGATATGTCCTGTGTACTCCTTTAAAGACATCACACAACAGAGGATTCTAGTGCCGTTAACATTGAAGCTTGAGATGGACAGGAACTAACTATTGATTAGGAAAATAAAGAAACCTTAATTACTGCAGCATAAAAGTTAGTCAAAGTTGCAAAAATGGAACTTTTACACAGATGTTGACTAATTATAACGTTTTCACAATCTTTAGCAGATAAAAACTGAGGCATCATCATATATGGGAAAAGGGAAATCAAAGTATGTCTTTCAACTTAACCGCCAACATAAAAATGGCTGCCGCTGGACTCTTTATTCCGCAACAAGAGTTTGTACTTGTCTTCTCAAAACTGGGTCGTTTCTTGTTTTGGAGAATTTGGGCCAAAAGCCCAAACTATATAGTTAGACTATTGGGCTTTTATTTGTCTGGTAGGAATAATAACAATATACCCTCTATAGTTATTTTAAATTTATTAAATCCATAATGTTTCAAAATAATGAAAAGATCCCTTATTGTGTCATGTCATATGTATACAAGATTGAAGTGATGAAACCCTCAACAACAAGGTGTTTCTTGTTATTAACCCTTGTTTTATGTGAACGAAATTGAGTCGACGACGACGAGAATCTGAGTGGTGAGAATGGAGGGGGAGGAATTCGAAGGCGGAGTAGGGAAGAGATTGAAGAAATTCACCGAATCAGGGGAAGTTGATTATAAAACAAAAGCAGGAACAGCATGGAGTCATTCATATCTAAACCAGAAACCATGGCATCCACTTTCTTATCCTAACCAACGCCGTAAGTGGATCGCTGAACAGATACACTCTAACAAACAACGCCGCAACGAAGAAGTCGCCCGCGAAGTATTTACTATTTACAGTCAATTTCTTTCCTTTTTTTTTTTTTTTTTTCCCTTATTTCATTACTCAATACTGAAACTTTTAATTTTATTTTTTTGGTATTTTTAGTATGCCCAAGAGCAGGACTTCTTTCGCCAGACTGCTCTCATCTCCAAGAAAGACAAGGACAAGGTACCTTCGTTTAGCTCTTGTTTCATATACAATTTTAGTACAATTCTTCGTATTTTAGTGCAAGATACAGTTCATTTTCTACAGATTTTAACTCTGAAAAATCTCTGTTTAAATGTTAGAAAAAGATATTTTCGGATGTTATAAATATTGAGATATTAATTTTTGAATATTTGTTTAGCACCTGTGTGGTATAAAATTTAAATGCAATTCTAACTTCTTGTAAACAAGGAATATAAAAACTTTTTAAAAGTATAAAATTTAAATGCAATTCTAACTTCTTGAAAACAAGGAATATCAAAACTTTATGAAAATGCAGTTGTTGTCAGATACAAAAACTAGTGTAAAATCATTAAAAAAAAATTGAATGAGTTTGTTTCTTAGTTTTCTATAGTTTTAAACTTTGAACTATGTATTTTTAGACCTCACCCGAATATTCTTTTATGTCTTCTTCTACTCTGATTATTTGGTGTAGATGGAAACTATGCAAGCTGTTAGCTTCATGTATGTTCGACCACCTGGTTATAATGCTGAAAGTGCTAAGGCGGCCGAGATTGAAGAGGAGAAGAAGAGACAAGAACAAGTTAACACATCTCAAGACTCACCTGCTCCTGCAATGTACTGTTTGTTATTATTATTGCTTTTGAATTTTGGTTTTTGTTATAATTTTCTTTGCATTTGTTTCTGAATGTGATGTGTTATTTGTTTGTCTTCTAGGCAATCAGAATCTCTGCCTGTGGGTGAAGATAAGAAAAAATCTAGGCCTAAAGATGTTTTCGGACGTCCTTTACCCACTGAAGAAGAATTTGAAGTCCTTAAAAATGCTCCACGGTATGTTTAAATTCAGCCTAGATATTTTTTTCCTCTAGTAACATACATCTTTATGCTTTGCTTCTGAACTGAGTTGTAAATCTTTTGATCAGGACAATATATGACTGTTTAAATTTGTCTAGGCCATTTATCTAAACCATGATATAGTTTCAAGGTTTTTGCTATGCCACTGCTCAGCCCTAACCAAAATTGTATATTATTTAATGAAACATTTTCATCATTTGTTCTCCTGAGCCGGAAGCTGCAGTTATTTTCAAGAGAATAAATATCTGACAAAATTGTTTAACCTGACATGAATTGTTCAAAGGGCACTTATAGCTTTTTCACAAATACTATTAGAGGTACAGGACTGTTAGTTGCATTTGCTTTGAATATGAATAGGCTGGAGACAGGTGCTCCTGCAAGGGTAAAACCATTTGGTGTTGAAGTGCGCAACGTCAAATGTTTAAGATGTGGAAATTTTGGGCACCAAAGTGGTGATCGTGAATGTCCATTGAAGGATGCTATAATGCCTAATGAAGAGAGTAGATTGAAAAGAGATGACCCCTTGACCGCTATCTTGGCTCGTACAGATCCTACTGAGGTTAGCATTATTCCTGTGTCAGTTGTCTACAAATTAAGTGGTCTTTTGCATAACCTGACTTCAGAATTGTGCTTGAAAAGTATAACTCCATGCTTCTTTTCTTTTTTTCTTTTTTTCCTTATTACTACTCTTCTCTTTTGATTTCCAGTTGCTACTGTATAGGTGTATGTGTGAAACTAAGTATTTTGATCCCCTTTACAAGGCTGGAAATAGAATTTTAGGCACAGGGTGTAATTGATAAAACTTTACTAAAATTGTAACTGCAGTTGCTGAAAAATATTTGTGTAAATCTGTCAGATAACAAGCTTCGAAGGAAAACCTAGAATCTCTAATTCTTTTGTTGGTACATGGAGAAAGCATTCTAGAAATCAGTATGCATGAAAAATTAGCCACTAACAATTTAGATATTTGAAGCTGCCAAAGACTTGTAACTTTATTTTGCACTTGTGTTCAAGGCTTGGACAAGCACATTTATATTGTTTCTCCTTATTTGAGCCTTTTGCTTGCCTTCTTCTCATTTCTGAAAAAGTGGGAGCAACAGCTGCTTACTGATGCAACTTCTTTCCCTGCAGCCTCTCAAGTGGGAGCTGAAGCGACAACCAGGAAATTTTAGTCCTCCTCGTGGAGGGTTTAGACCTGATGATCCCAATCAGCAAATAGTTGCTGAGGACATATTTGATGAGTATGGAGGTAAATGGCTTTTTTTTTTTTTGTTGTGGCCGAAATTTTTACTATATTTATTCTATGCATGCTGTATTGAATGAAGCATTCTATTTATCCTTTTTCGCATATTCTAGGGTTTCTTGGTGGGGGTGATGTGCCTGAGTTGTTGACCAACCTGTCAAGCAAACCTCGAAAGAAATCCAGAAAGAAAAGTAAGCACAAAAGGCAGTCATCACCAAGTAGTAAAGACTTAAGAGTTCCTGATGAAGATGGGTCATCTTCACCTTCTGACAATGAAGAGAAGAGGTCAAAAAAGGAGAAAAAACATAAGAAAAAGCAGAAGCGGAGGTATTCCAGATCAAGTTCATCCAAAGATTCAGAATGTGATTGGCATCCCAGAAAAGGCAGACACAAGCACTCTTATTCATCTGACGATTCTGACTCTGAAAGGCTCAATGAAGTTAGAAGGAGCAGGCAAAGGAATCCTTATCCATCCGAAGATGACTCCGATGAACATCATATGAACAAAGAAAGCAGACACAAGCATTCTTCTCGCTCTGAAAATCTAGAGTCTGATAGGCGTTATAGATTAAAAAAGAGTGGGCAAAAGCATCCTCTCTCATCTGAGGATGACACTGACCGGCTGCATACAAGTGAAAAGAACAGAAACAAACATTCTAATTCATATCAAGACTCAGACTCTGGTAGGCATCGGAGAAGTGAAAAAAGCAGGCAAAAGCATTCTTACACAGCTGTAAACGACTCTGATCGGCGACATAGAAGTGAAAAGAGCAGACACGAGTATTCTTATTCACGGTCATATGAAGAATCTGACTCCTATGGACATCGTAGAGGTAAAGTTGGCCGGCATCAATAATAGTACCGTCAATTTATGGAGTCAATAACTTTTAAGCCGTGGCCCTGACAGGAAGAAGCTAAGGATGCTGTTTATCTTTATTTGTATCATTTTCAATCTTGTATTCTGTCACTCAGGTTCTCAAGGGTTGACACAATCATTACATCAATTAGTATGTGATAAACTGATAATCATAAATCAAAGCATTCATTTTCTCTTATCCTATGTTTTTCACTTCATCTCTATAAAATTTGATGTCATTAACATATAGAATTTGATGTCATTGTACACGTGAAGGATGGAAAGCCTGACTAATCCACTGAAAAAGGAGAAAGAGAATGCCTAAATAAAGATTAAAAATGTTTCAAGATTTTGTAAATGATATTTTTCAATATTTTATTATTGTATTTTTAACCTATTAATAATTAATTTAAATTAAGGTTAAAATTATAAGAAATATGAAATAAAAATATAAAATTTTTGTGTGTGTTTGTTTTATTATTTTAGGTAGTATTTTTGAAATATTATTGGTAGGTAGAGTGCTTTATTATACCAGATTTTGGTCATTTTCTAATGATGGTGACTAAAATCTAGTAAATGTGGATGAAACGAGGATGTTTTTGTTAATTTTTAAATTTTTTTTATGAGTATTTAGTTAAATTAATAAACTAAATAGTATATAATAGTATTTTAGAAAAAGAAACATATAATTTCACTAAGAAATAGTATTAATAGAATGGGAAAAAGTAATTAAACAAACCGACCTATGATACGGGTAATTATAAGTAGGGTGTGAAAAGAGACTATTCGGTTTAAGAAGTCGGCTTTTTAGAGAGCTTTCACTACAGGAAGCCCAAAGCAAATTGAAGAAGATGGCTGCGAGAGGAGGAAGCAAAGCAGCGATGGGGGCGGTGAAGGGCGGAGCCCTTAAATTTGGTGGTGGGCCTTTTAAATGCAAATTCAGAACCAAATCAGCTTTGCCTTCTCCTTCTTCTGAGTTGGGCAAGTTCTTGAATATTCCCGAGACGGCTCGTTCGGAAACTTCCAAATTGATCACCAAGTTCATCAAACTCAACAATCGCGAGGTTTTTCCTTTTATCGACTTTCTGATAGCGGAGAAATTGTTAGATTTAGGGACGAACCCTTTCTCTCCTGCCGAATTTCTTGTGATTTCTTAGCTTATGTTGCTTGTAATACTAGGTGTTCGATGATTGTCCTAACTGAATGTTTCGAATGTTTTTTTTTTTTTTTTTTTTGGGCTTTATAATTTAAATTGCTGCTATTTGGGTTATAGATGTTTCCGCCATTTGCAATAAACATGGATTATTTGCATTAATTTTTTTTTATTATGATATGTATTCATTATATTATTGCTATTTCCACAATATTTGATATACATAAATTATTGTTTCTATGGAGATATGACCATAATTATGATCACATGTATGGGGAGTTTGTGGTAGAAAGTTTTTTTGGTCTTTCGGCAAAACACTAGCAGACAGTCATTCTTGTTGATAAGTACTGGTAGCATAAGATAATCTCACATCTATTTAGAACATCCATGTTGATTCCATATTATACACTTTGTTGTTGTGCCAGAAGTATATTTGCATCTCAAAAATTTGTTTATTGTTCATAAGTAATCCTCTTTCCTCTTCCATTCCCATTTCATGTCTAGAAATTATTGGCTGTGACATTTCTATGATTCTTTTGCAGAACCCTGGAATGAAGAAGGACATGCTTGGTGAGGAGAAGCTGAGGTCTATATTGTCTGGGAAAGACAAAGTTGGGATTCCGGAGATTGCCAAATTGCTGTCCGGGCAATTTGTCAAAACTCGCTACAGCCGCCGATAGTTGCCTGGCTTGATTTTGTTTGAACTGTTGTGCTACTAATAAAATTGTGGCGTAGTCAGAATATGCTATAAAAATTGAGGAACATAACTTGATGGGCATATTTGTTTGAAGTTGTAGTCAGACATTCAGTGTATGGTTTAAATCTGTTTGTGATAATTTCGTAAGTTATTATTATAGCTTTTTGGGAGAATTTTTCTGCTTCTTCAAGAGAATTGTATTCTGGAGAAAATATTAGCAAGCTGAGGATGAAGTTTTTGTCTTTGTTTCTAATGCCTCATGAGTTCATTTAATTTGAAGAGTTTGGGAATTTTTTATTTGGGAAAAAAATCGAAGGTAGAAAGCAAGCCTGCTGGAAAATGGGATACGAATACATTTGATAAAGCCATTAGGATGATTGAACATTGGCAAACACAGGGTTGCTTATGCTTGTTTCTGTGATGATTTGTTGATTGCAAGCCGTAACTTCCATTATCAGTCTTACACACAGGATTTTACTTACAATTGCAAACTATACAAATGTTCAATGAAATGCTCTTTTCTGCATCATTCTGATTGGCACATATGTGTCATTATTTAGAATCTAACAAGCAATGAAGCTCTGAATGTGAACTTGATAACCAGAATTAGAGAAACAATATAACCATGGGAACAAAAGTAGCACGTGCTGTACGTTCAGAAACAAAGAATGCTTCCCATGAGCCTACCATTGAAGCCCATTTATATGCCGAGTCATGGAATTCTTCATTTCATTCTCATCTGTGCTGAACATCACAAAATTTTGGGGAATATCAAAAAATAGTAACATATTTAGTACAGATAAACGTGCTTTAATAGGATGAAAGGGAGGAAATTTAAATCCCAAGTTTGGATTTAAAACAATTACACTGAAAAGCGCAGGTTTTTTTTTTTTTAATTTAAAAATCTGACGTGGCACTCTTAATTGTAGCTAAACATGCAAAAAAAAAGAGGACTAGAGTGAAAAGATTGAAACGTATATGGGTAATAGTATAATTAATAGAAATTTGTTTAAATTTTGAAAATTAGAAAACAACCCCCTCCCTTCAAAATCGCTTAATCGAGTAGTATACCTAAAAAACGATTGATGAAACACCTTCCATTTCACTGCGATTTTCGACGATAAAAGTTCCCTATTTCCTGCCAATATTCAATCCTAAAGCTTCGTTACACAAAGTCATAGCTGATATTCACAAAGAGAAGGAAAACCCAACCCCACTCCAAATCCTAGACTTCGGAAGCGGCAATTGTTCAAAGGTTGTTGAAGAAGACGCTCTGGTGGATCATCCAATGAGTGAAGGCGGTCCAGAGGCAGATGAGACAATGGCAGCACAAGAATAGAGAGAAGAATCGGAAAATGGTTCTGAAGAGGAGGATGTCAGTGAAGAAAAAGTATGTTTTTTACTGGCGGCTTTGAATTTGATGAAAAAATTGATTAGTTTGTGCGAATTTGGGGGATATGTAGTTGGTTTTATTGTTACGGTAGTTGTGGTATTTTGTCGAGCAGTTGGCGAGCATCAGGGAAGTGGCTTTGCTTGGGTTCTAAAGGATGGGGGAAGGTAAGGGAGGTCGTAGGGAGGTTGTTTGTGGGAGGTTAGAGGGTTGGGGATAGCAGGAGGTGGCGGAATAGGGGGGCTAGAGGGCCATGCACAGTTGCGTGCACACAGTTGTGCGTGGCTAGCCCTACAATATGTAGGGCAGCCCTCCAACCCCCCTATTTCGTCACCTCCTGCCATCCTCAATCATTTCCAGTCTTGAACCTGCCATAACAACCTCTGTAAGGCCTACATTGGCTTCCCTAGTCTTCTAAAGCCAAAAACACCCATTCCTCGATGCCCTCAAAGCCTATATCCCCCAAATTGGTAGCCTATTTGTTGTTTTGGTTCTTTTTTTTTTTTTTTTTTGTTTTGTTTGCTGATATTTAGTTTATATCGATTGTGCAGATTTTCCAAAGGTAAATTATAATGACTATGGGTTAGAGCTTGTAAGCGATAAGATACCGTACTTCCCCGTAAGGGTGACAATTAGGTCGAGTTGGAAAGTTTTTATGAGAATAATGGAGATTTTGGAGGAACAAAGGAAGGGTATGGACTGATTCAAAGATAGTTGTTTCTGTCATTTTGCAAACATCGGAGAAAATTGGAAAAAGGCGTTTTGGGGGCAGGGAGTGCATTATATGTTGCTACACTCAATTAAAAGCCAAGAAAAAAAATGAAATATGGTTCGTGGTGGATGGGAAGCCACTACGTTTTGGGATGATGGAATATGCCCTTATGACAAGCTTAAGATGTGGGGCATTTCCAGATGCGGAAGAGCAAGAGAGAATAATGAAAAGTAGGGCAGTCGATAAATTGGCTAGAAAGGTTTTGGGGGGGGAAGGCGTCTATTACAGGATGTAATTTAGAGAAGAGGTTAGGAGAAGATAGGGTATGCCTCTTTAGAGAAGTTCAAGATGTGTCTGGTATGGTTCGTGCATTCGATTCTAATGGCTTCTGACTCAACAAAAGCCATTACTATGGATTGGATGAAGTTTGCAAGCAACATGGACTTCTTTAATGCTTATCCGTGGGGACAGTTATCATTTTAACTGACCATTGACTCCCTGCATGGAAAAGGCATGGACGTCTTTAATGTTTATCCGAATATACTGGATCGCTTAAGCGATTTTAGGTCTTGCTTAAGTGATCCATTATATTTAATCTTAGTCGCTTAAGTGATCACGTACAAACCAGAATCAAGATCACTTAAGCGATTTTTCATTTTTACCCTTGGTCACTTAAGCGATCAAGTCCAAGGCAAAACCAAGTCACCCCAAGTGTACGATCGCTTAAGCAATTCTTCTCTTTTACCCTTGGTCACTTAAGTAATCTATGATTGCTTAAACGATCATGTCCAAGGCAAAATTAAGATCATTGAAGCGATTCTTTAATTTTAGCCTTGGTCCACCAAGGCCATTTTGCTTATTATCTCCTCGATCTTTTGATATTGTGCGCGTTTGAGTGAGAAATTATATTCCGTATTACGGGTTAGCTCTATATTTAATCATAACCATCCATATTTGTGAAATGAGGTATGTTTCTACTAATGTGTCACATTCATAACTAATTCAGTAAATTGATTGATTGATTGACTTGACACGACAATTATATTGATAATATTTATTTTGCTTGTCTTACTTCTTTGGGTAGC